CTGTTGAGAGCTCCTGTACATTCTGCAGCCATTTAGCTTGAACCCAGACTTTAGTTGCTCCAGACCTCTTATAGCAGCTCTTATAGACTGCCTTTGTTTTCTTTAGGATGGCTCAGCACTGGGAGGCTGACAGAAACCTTTCCATCAGAAAACAGTAATTTGGGAAGAGGTGTACACCCTTGCTTCTCTTTTTATCTTTTAGAATCCAGCAGCCCCAGCCCCCACCACAGTTTGCCAGCTTGTCTATTTTCACTAAAAGGTAAAATACAGTGCATTCGGAAGATCCGAAATAAAAACACAGTGCTGAAGAAACTAAGCAGGTTTGGCAGCATCTATGGAGACAGAAAAACAGTTAACAGTTTAAATCCCATGATTCCTCTTCAGAACAGCTGTCTATTTTCACTGTTGTGCTCTGTACAGACAATGCTTGGCCAGTTGAACTTTTTTTTATTTCAGTTAATTCTGTTTTTTCTTTCAATATGCTGCAGGTTATTCTACTTGTAGAACAAACTAAACTGAACACAAAGATAACTTCAGTTTATTCATTCCATTTGTTTTAAATGAATTAAAAATTGTTGTCCATCTCTGATTATTTTCTTTTCTGATGAAAAGCCAATCCACAGAGATTATTTATTTGTTTTTGTTTCAGATTTTCAGCATTTTTAGGATGTCAACCTGTAACTCGCGCAATGCCAAAGAGATCAGTTTAATTATATATATTAATGATCTGAATGAATGAAGTAAATATAGTTTAAAACTAAGGGAGTACCCATTTAAAAGAGGTGATGAAAAATAATTTCCCCTCAGATGACTGAGCGTCTTTGGAATTTCCTTCCTCAAAAGGCAGTGGATGCAAAATCTTTAAACAGTTTTAGAGCAGAGGTAGATTACCCAGGGATGAAAGATTAATAAAGATATGCAGAAATGGGAAGTTAAGATTAAAAATCAGATCAGCCATGGTCTTATTGAATGGAGGAGTGGGTTCAAAGGACAGAGTGGCCTCTTGTTTCTTTTTACTATCTTCATATTTACTATTCCCAAGTTTGCAGATGATGCAAAAATAGGTGAGAAGGCAAGCGGTGAGAGTGACATAAGGATTCTACAGAGGGACATAGGTGGGTTAAGTGAGTGGGTAAAAACTTGACAGATTGAATATAATGCAAGAAAATGTGAGGTTCTGCACTTTGGTGGGAAGAAGAGGAACTGAATATTATTTAAATAAAGAAAGACTGCAGTTCTTGTGCATAAATCCAGAAAGCTAGGGAAATCTTGCTAAAACTATGCAAGACACCAATCAGACCACAGCTAGAATACCGTGAACGCTTCTGGTCTTCTTATCTAAGCAAAGATCTACTGGCATAGGATACAGTCCAGAAAAGGTTCACTAGGTTGATGCCAGGTATGGAAGAGTTTTCTTTGAGGAGAGATTGAGTTGGTTAGGCCTGTACTCGGAGTTTAGAAAAATGGAAGCCATCCTTATTGAAACAGACAAAGACTCTTGGGGGCTTGACAGGATAAATGCTGAGGGATTGCTTGCCTTTGTGAGGATCTAAGGCTGGAGGGCATATCCAAATGAACACCATCTACAAGTTCACTGATGACAGCAGCGTAGTGGGATGGATATCTAACAATGATGAGTCAAAATACAGAAGGGAGGTAGAGGACTCGGTGACATGGTGCAATGAAAACAATCTCTCAACGTTGGCAAAACCAAAGAACTGATCATCGACTTCAGAAAGAAAGGAGGAGAACACGCCCCCATCTACATCAATGGAACTGAGGTTAAGAGGATGAAGAATATCAAGGTCTGCGGAGTGACGATAACTGACAGCCTATCCTGGACTTCCCACATAGATGTGACAGTCAAGAAGGCACACCAACGCCTCTTCTTCCTCAGGCGGCTCAGGAAATTTGGCATGTCCATAAGGTCCCTCACCAACTTCTACAGATGCACCATTGAAAGCATACTGTCTGGATGCATAACAGATTGGTACGGCAACTGCTCTGCCCAGGACCGTAAGAAACTACAGAAGGTGGTGTGCACGGCCCAGACCATCATGGAAGCCAACCTTCCATCCATGGACTCTTATTTTCACGGCCCGCTGCCACGGAAAGGCAGCCAACATCAAAGACCCATCGCACCCTGGTAACGACCTCCAACAACCTCTTCCATCAGGCAGAAGATACAGAAGCTTGAACACACGCATAAGCGGTTTCAGGAACAGCTTCTTTCCGGCCATTATCAGACTGTTGAATGGACTCCAGCCTCAAATAATGTAACCTGCAATGTAATCTGTATGGCTCTAAGTCTTTTTGATCTGTACATCCTTTGCTTGCTCTAATCTGCCTGTACCACTCATAAACAAAGTTTTTCACTGTATTTTGGTACCCATGACAATCAATTAATCAGTAAGGGGTCATCCACGTTCTCCTCTCAGAGGGTCGTGAATCTGTGAAATTCTTTACCACAGAGAATTGTAGAAGCAAGGTTAAGTATATTCAAGACTGAGATAGACAGATTATTTTGTCAGTAAGGGAATCAAGAGTTGTAGGGAAAAGGCAGGAAAGTGGTGTTGAGGATTATCAGAGCAGCCACATTCTAATTGAATGATGCAATAGCCTCAATAGGTCAGAAGGCCTACTTCTGCTCTTATGATCTTATGACCTTGCTTCTTACACAATTCACCGAGAATTCTGTTGTTCATATCCGTCTGCATGAATTCCCACCCAACTTATCACTTTCACCTTCACCCAATCTCTCCTTCAACTTCAGTGAATCACTTCAAAATTCTGGTCCTCATTTCAAATCTTCCGTATTAGTCCATGCTTTTGAGAAAATCCATTCAAACCACTTCTCACCATCCATCAGATTCTTTCATCTGTAAGCTGTCATGACCCTGCTCTCAGGTTCTGTTCAAATATCTTACCACCTTCTCATAATTCTCTCTGCCTTCAAGTGTCTTTTTTGAAAATCATTATTGTGTTTTAATTCTTGTTCAATCTCCTATTACTTATGGGTGGTACTGTCGTGTCTGAATGATGAGTTCAACTTCCTATGCAAGACCTGGGTTCATTCTGATAATGTTGTATACTAAACTGAGGGAAGTCTTTTGTGTCCAGTTCAAATGGAAATAATTTATTATGTTAGCACTGTGCAAAGAGATTTGCTGGTTCTGTTAACAATATTCTTCTCTCAACCACGACTGGAGCAGTTTAACTGATGATCTCTCATTTAATTTTTGTGGAGGGCTGATGTCAAAATTAGACCATCCTTACAAAATAGCAGTGACATACCTTCAAAATAATTCATTGATTAACTGTGAAGAACTTTAAGTCCCAAGGATGTAAGGCACTGTATAAATGCAATGCTGTTCTCTCCACCACAACACACCCCCCACCCCGCCCACTTGATGTACACTTTTTTCTTATCAATTGCTGACTTTGCCTGAACAGATCACAAAATACATAGTAACTTTCTCACTGCTTCAAAAATATCGATCATTGCTGAAGATTTAGAGAACATGAATTTACACAAAAATCTGTTCAAAAAAAAATCTAGGTACAGAAATTTTTTTTTTAAACAACACTGGAGGTTGTGACTGGAACATTGGAATCTTCTCCATTTCCACGGTTACAACTATGAATGAGCTCCTAGTCTCAGTACAAAGTCAGAAATCACACCACACCAGGTTATAGTCCAACAGGTTTATTTGAAAACGCAAGCTTTCGGAGCCTCAATCCTTCTTCAAACACCTGAAGGACGACTCAGGCTCTGAAAGCTTACGTTTTCAAATAAACCCGTTGGACTATAACCTGGTGTCGTGTGAGTTCTGACCTTGTCCACCCCAGTCCAACATCGGCACCTCCACATCACAATCTCAGCACATGAACGGCCTCTTGCTGAGTTCAAAGGTCACGGGTAAGAGAGCCGCCCCAGCATCTCATTCAAGTGGATACTTCAGTACTATACATGGGTATACAGCTGCATTATCGAAGATGTCCGCTTTCGGTTACACATTAAACTTAGCCTGAGAGAGCGTAAAGGATCCCAAAACACGGTTGGACAAACGGCGAGAGTTCTTGGCAAATCTTTTTTCTTCAAACAGCATCACCTAAACACATATCCGGTCTTTATCTCGCTGTTTTTTTTGTGCGACCTTGCTCTGTATAAATTGGCTGCCAGGTATACCCCATAACAGGAAATTCCACTTTTTAAAAAAACATTATTGAATGTAAAGTATGTACGGGGTGTGGCGATGGTGAAAGGCGCCTCATAAACGTCACTCATTTGCTGTAAATCAAAATCAAATGTTGGCCTGCATCCCCTTCTCATTGGTCGGAACCTATTACAACTACAGAGATAGCAAGAACTGCAGATGCTGGAGTCAGAGAACAACACAGTTTGGAGCTGGAGGAACACAGCAGGCCAGGCAGCATCAGAAGAGCAGGACAGTTGACGTTTCGGGGGGGATTGCGAAGGTAGGTGGGTTGGTGATAGGTTGGATGCAGGTAGGGGGGATTGGTCAGTGGGAAAGGTGGAGTGGATAGCTAGGGAAGATGATGGACAGGTTGTGTCAGATCAAGGAGGCGAGGAGGAGGAGGGGTGAAGCTGGGGGAGGGGAGGTAGGATGGTGATAGGTGGATGCAGGTGGGGTTAGTGGGATTGGTCAGTGGGAAGAAGATGGACAGGTTGTGTCAGGTCAAAGAGGCGGGGATGAGAGGGACGTCGATAAATTCACCAGTTTTAAAATCTCCCCACCCCCAGCCTCATCCCATGTTCCAACCCTCCCTCTGAATTGCTTCCTTCTGCACCGTAGCATTTCTGTTATATTGTAATCTGTGATCGGAAGCATGGGAGTTTAAATAAATAATAAATATATAGCCATATGCGCAATTTCCCGTTCATGTGAAATTGTAGCCAGCAATTTAGTTTAAATCTAGGTAACCGAGTTTGCCGTTCTACCATTTTCCAGGTTTTTTTAAAAAAATCATCACCCCAGCACAGAACGGCTGGGGATGTTTTGATTTACAGATCAAATGTCTACACCGTATGAAGTGCATTACACTCAAGACCATTCCCGGAGACGGTGACAAGTGTGCGCAGGGATAGGACAGCCTGGCGGTCCATTTCACACCTCAGCTCGGTCCACTCGTGTGCTACAGCCTAGAAGAAGTGAACTCCAGATGAGCTGGATGGAGCAGATTTGCAGGAGCACAATGAGTAATGGCGTGTCAGCAGGTAGAGGGAGCGCTTTCACAGTCATGGTTGATGGTCGCCTGGGGCAGTGAGTGCTGCATAGCCTCCCGTGCACTCGTCTGCACCACAGAGGAAGAATGACGCCGTGCCTACAAAAGGAACATCCCGGCCTGTTGGTAGCGGAGAGGACAATGATCGCCAACAGCGAGCTAGTCCAGTCCCAATATCTGGCGCTGGAATGTAATTTACAAAGTTAAATAGCACAATCGGCGATAAAAAAAAAACTGGATCTTTCAGCAGAAGCTGTTAGATAAATAACAGATTTAAGCATTAGACTGTCTAATGATCAAGAGACTAGATACAGCGAAATCTTCACAAATGTAACTGCTATCACAAACCAATGCCTTCGGACAAATCTAATAAAAGCAGAAAATGTAGCTTTTCTGATCGTCGGGATAACCGTCCCATTGTTCTCCGCTACACATCGCTCAGGTCGATAAGAAAGGAACTTCTACCTTGCACAGCACGCTGCACTTCGCAACACGCCTCTTCAAAAGCATTCTATTCATAAAAAAAGTCATCCATTGAAAGAAGTAGCCTGCATTGCAGAGAGCTCAAAGTGCACGGTTTAATAAACTACAGACTGGGTTAATGAAACCCAGTGCTGTCCGCAAAAATGCCCAGCGAATCTGACTGCACAAGACTCGAAACCACCACATTCACACATCTATTTTTTAATAGATTCCAACCCCCACCCTCTCTACGAAACAGCGAGTCATTTTTTCAAAACTCATATATAATTGCAAATTCCATGTTTGAAGCAACTGAATTATTTTTCCTGTAATTAAACAGTGTATACTTTCTCCTCACTGGGAGGGAGTGCATATTTACCGAATATAAAATGTGCGAAAACAGTAAATAAGTTGCTAATAACAGCAACAGATGATACTTCAGGTCGCCCTCAAATGAAAAAGTAAAATTACTCAAGTGACAGGAGTAATCAAAGATTTGGTTCTTTTTCTCCAAAAGCTCAGTATCGGAGGGAAGTCTTGAAAGATCCGGCGGAAAAGCTGTCGAAAATAGATTTGTTGGCATGTTCACCTTCTTATCATCACTAAATAGTTTTTTTTTTAAAGAGAAGCAACGTGCCATGGCTCCGAAAAAAAGGCAGCTAATAATGCCAGTAAAATTCATGAAATATTAATGAAAAATGTTTGTAAAAAAAGCCTATGGTAAGTTACAAGAATCTATTCGATCAATTGACAGATTGGATTTAATCAACTATTGATTCTGTTTTTCACAAATAGTTTTTAAAACGCAGTAACATTTCAACCGAGTCGAAATAGATCAAAGAGTGTTGCCGAATAGCATTGCTGCTGAGGGCGAATGTCTCCTGAACAAATGCATAATACAACGCCGACAACTTCCTGATTGATCCACGGACATTAGCTGGCAAACAGCTAGCCCGGCGCATGCCAGCTTACAGTACTTGGGGTTCAGGCGAAGTCTTACAATGCTTCCAGCTCAGACATTTAGTAAATTTACTGCAGCGATGGGGGAGGGTGAGCTGTCTTCAACCCTCCCCAGGCCCCCACCCCCAATAAAGCTGCAGACCAAACTGGTTAATTCTGCGTACTTCAGTCTGATCGCAAAGTTTAAAAGGAAAGCGGTTTTCCAGTGTAAACTGAAATACACAAATTTCACTTATGCAACTATTGAACTTTAGCGGTATTCTAATAAACAGCAAATACGATTGCCTCTCAAACTGAACTAGGCGTTACGCACACCAATGAAAAGTGACAGCGTATATTGCAAGAAAGCTCCAATTTATGTTCGGTAGATTTTCCTTTCTCAGTACCAAAGGTTTTAGCAACTGCACCAGAGAAAAATATTCTCGAGCACTGATACACCTACTCTCGACGTCATAACCAGGCAATTTACAACGGATGTTATCTATCCACCTTTACTATCGGCTCTCAGATCTCTACAGCGGCTCTTATATCCTGTCACAAGTGCTAACTAACGACAGTACTCGAAGATATACCAGGCCCTGACTGGCTGCAGATTAAAACGCAGCGACCCATTTTTGTTTTGTGGAATTTAGTGTCCACAGTATTTTTTTTTCTGGGTCACCATCCAGATATTAAAAAAATGTCGCAAACATAATTTCACCCATTTTAATTGTTTTTCAAATTAGACTAACAATACATTAATCACTGACATTTATTCTATTTTTGGGATTCTTATTTTGTGAAGGACACCTTTTGAAGTTCTAGTGGAGGAAACATGTCTTTCACTTCTGAAACACCAAAGGACTAACAACATTAAATTAGATCAGAAACGCACGCACACACAGAGTGGCAGACCCTCCCCGGCACTTTGACGTTCGTCTTTTCTGCAGGTCAAGGCTCGGCCAAAACTTCATGCAAGTAATTAGAATGATCAGATCAAACAGCACAGAAACAGATGGAGGCCATTTGGCCCATCATACCGGCGCCATTTAGTGAAATAGCTGCCAGTTGGTCGGACTCCCTTGTTTTATTCCATATCTATGCAAATATAATCTTATAAATTCCCCACCGTGCTGGAGTTTTGAATCCGACACAACGACACCACAATATTGAAGAATGTTATTGTGCTTGTGCTGGCCAAATATCGACTTAAACCTCCCCACACTATTCTTTAACTATGTTCTCCGCTTGCAGCATCATGTAGGAGAACCAAACTAGGATGGCCTTCGTTCAAATTTAGGTGCAGATTTATCACCAAATTAAGCTGGTTGTGGCAACTCGACGAAAAAAAATGTACATTGTTCTGTATAGCATAAAAATACTGCTTCCTCAGCTTCCAGTGTTGTCCTACGTGTTCTGAAGGAATGCATTTATGTCACTAGCCTTCCATCACTTGGCCCTCAAAGTGAGTGTGGACAGCGATTGCCAACTAACGATGTAGCATTGCAGTCTTTATCCAGCCCCATAGCACTGGACTTCCAAATACATAAGCAGAGGGACACCAAAATAATTTTTGTTTCTTAGTCCAGGGGATATGGATACAAATGTGAGGCAGTTTTACATTACTGAACAGTGTGATCAACAAGAGTCTTTTAAAATTCAATTGTCCAGATGTAGAATTTACAAGTAACACCAACATTTATTGTCCATCCCTAGGTGGTGATGGCTTTTTTTAACTACTGTGGTCCATGTTTAAAATGTTTTTTGAATTAAAAACAGGAGTGAGCCATTGAGTCCCTTAAGCCTGCTCCATCATTTGATCAAATCATGACTGACCTGCTTGTAGCCTCAACACCCCTGTATGCTCCCCGTAAACACTTGACTTCATTGTTGATCAAAAATCTGCCTAACTTTTCCTCTAGTGCTCTCTGGGGAAGAGAATTCCATTGACTGACCACTCTCACCAAAAAAACCACTCACTTCTGAGTGTGAAATAGGAGACCTCCAATGTTAAACTCCCTTGTATGGGAAACTCAGAATTCACCCTGTCAAGTCTCCTCAGGATCTTACATGTTTCAGTGGATCATCATTACCTCTTAAAAAACTTCAATGAACATAGGACCAACCCGTCCAACATTTTCTCATAAAAGAACATGTTCATTCAGGATTCAATTAAATGTACCTTTGCTGAACTGTTTCTCATTTCTTAAGGAAGGAAACTAATGCTGTACACAATACTCTAGACGAGGCCTCATAAGGCCATATTCAACTGCAGCAAAATGTTCCTTTTACATTCTATTCCTCTTGCAGTTAATTCCAACAAAGTATTTGTTTTCCTAATCACTTGCGACACTTGTATACCAACATTTTATGATTCATGTACCAGGGCAGCCAGATCAATTTCTGCTAGAGTTTTGTAGTGTCTCCATTCAAATAATGTACAGTGTTTTATTCACCCTACCAAATTAGGTGAGTTGCTGCAGAGAGAGGTTAAAGAATGAATCATTTTGCTTTGCAATCACAGACAAAAAAAGATACATGAAAGGAGGAGACAAATCAGCCCATTGTGCCAGTGGCAGCTCTATGAAAAAGAAATCCAATTAGTCCTATTCTCCAGCTCTTACACAACATTCTTGCGATTTGTTTTCATCTTTAAGTATATATCCATTTCCTATGTGAAAGCTGCTACTGAATATCCTTCTCCCATCCTTAGAGGCAGTACATTTTAGATCACAATAATTCATTGTGATTTCTTTAAGCCTAAACTGGGTAAGGATGGCTGATTTCCTTCTCAAACTCAGGATCACTGTTTAAATCCAAAGTGGTTGCCTATTTAAGATTAATTATCTTAGAGGGTCGAGAGCTTGTGGGACTCTTCCTCAAAAGGCACTGGAAGCAGCATGTTTGCATATATTTAAGGCAGAGATAGATAGATTCTTGATAAGCAAGGGTAGGTAATAATGTGGGTTAAGCAGATTAGCCATGATCTTACTGAGTAGTGCAGCAAGTTGAGGGGCACAGTGGCCTACTTCAGTTCCTAATTCATATTTGTATAATTCTCTGAAAGACAATAAGGTTTGATTTTTAAATGATAAAAATGTTAGGTTTTTGACAACCATCTAAGGTCACCTGTACTCACGCTAACTTTTTATATCCCAATTGAAATGTTAACTTCAGTTTTAACAATAAATGAATGGATCATATAAAGTTTCTTACACATTATTAGGCTCTGGGCTTTGCTCCGGTAATATATTCACACTATTATATCCTCAGGCAATACTTCTTTTGCACTCCTGAACAGAATCAAGGACAGGCTACATCTTAACTGTTCAAATGAAGACATCAAAATCTTTTTCTAAAAGATCTCAAAATCATTGACCCAAGTCTTCCTTTCCTTCCACATTCTTGACATGATGCAATCTGCAATTTCTTCTAATCCATCATTTCTACTTCCTTCAACCCAAGGACCTCTCTGATTTCAAATAATGTTGATCTTGCTTAGTGCACCTCTTTTGCAGTCATAACCTTGTATGCCTTGCTCAGTCTAAGCATCCTATGATCTACATTCCTTGTTTTCTATGATCTGCCTGTTCTGCTCACAAAACAAAACTTTTCACTTTACTTAGGTGCATGTGACTACAGTAAATCAAACCAGGTTCTCAATTTAGTCTTGGTTTTCTAATGTTAAAAGTAATACATTTAATGATTCTGTTACACAGCACAATGAGGCATTTATTAGGCCACTAATAATTGATATGCAACATTTCCAATAGTTTCCTTCGATATTATTTCATCACAAAAAAGTCATGTTCAGTTTTGCATGATCTTGCAAACAGTATGTGTCTGAATATTGCATAGTGTGCCATTGTACACAAACAGTACAGTTGGTCTGACTTATGAAATTATCTCAAGTGGATTCACCGCCATCAGACAGTACTAACCTCTTGTTGTAGTCCCATGATGTTCACTGATGACACATTTCTGCAATATTCTGGCCCACTGACAAGACCAGAGTCTCTGTTGACACTGGAGATTTTGAATCAGTATTAGTCTAGTGCAATTGTAAGTCTCTAGCTACTGCTGTTCTATTTACTTAGGAACAAAAAAGGAAACAAGTCCACAGAATGACAAAATTTATGCATGCTGCTGTTTACCATTTCAACAGACACACGTAATCAGAATAACTGACCTCCACAACTACCATTTCACTATAAAGTCTTGTACTGCATCAGTTCTTGTACAGCAGGGATAGAAGTCATATTGGATCTACATCAGCACCCACTTATGACCAGACCCCAAGATGAGTCTCGTTTTAGTGGGATTGATTCAGAATGTATAAATGGACCTAAATAGCAGAAGACCCAATGTCTGATTGACCTCTAGAGCATAAAATTATCAGGGCAGTAATTAGCATCTGGATTAATGCCAAGCTAACACGAAACAAATGTTTTATTTTCAATTCATTTTGTACAAATACATTTATAACATTAGTTTTCGTGTGAGTCACTCTACTTCATATTTCAGTGAAAATTGAGCATTTACAAAAAAACTGAACACTGTCCTGTTCCCTCTGAAGACACAGCCTTCCTTAAAACAAAGTCATTCCACAAATGAATCTTTCCTGGTGTTGTGTTATGTAAGTGGCTATTAGTCATCAGTTGAGGTTGGATGGTGAATATTGGCAAACTATCCAAAGTGTAGAGATCATCACGACCTGGGCTGATCAATTCCTTACCCACACACACATACTTCCAGTTGTGATTGTTCAGTAGTGACTAGAACAGGAAGCCTAGCCAATTTCAATACTCTAACATAGTATTATGATTGACCACAGAATTCCTGAGTCAGAGTGGAGTAAGACATTAGTTTAACTCAATTCAATCCCTCACCAATAATATCAACAAATAGTATTTATAAGCCATTTAATCTGACTGACTTGAACAAATGAGCTGAGGGGGCAAGGGGATGGTGGCTAAATAACCAGGGTTCTTGGTCAGACTATACAATTACATCTTTAGTTTCTGTATAAGCTGGAATTGCCTGCATTCCCCTATGTAATGAACAGAGTAGTATCTGGGATGTTGTCTGAACTGCTGAAATACAATTGTTGGTATGGATTATCTTATTTTACCTTTTGACTTTGTGTGGAGGTTCATAATGAAAAAAAAATGGAGT